CAGGAAGTATTGCATTTTTTTGTCTATGGTTGGTATGATTATCGACATACGTCAATTCGCTCTGGACCTTTTGGAGGGAAAAGTGTCGTTTTTATTTTGACTTTCAATTATTTTGTGAAATCTAGTTTAAAGTGGAATAGGATAGTGCTATTGTGCCTTAATCAAAGATTAAAACGCAAAATTATACGAACATACATATGTTTCGAACTCGGGCTAGCCAATCGGAGCGCAGTTGTCACGATAATGATATGGCAGAATAGTTTTCAAACAAATTAAATGACATTTCGTCTCTATTTCTGGTTATATACTCGATGACTGGTATTAATACAAGGCCTCGCCGGCGCTCGTCCTTGTAATTCATACTCGTCCAGCAATCCCTTACCTACTTCCCGGCCTCTGCTGTAATGTACTATACCGTGAAATAAATGACTTTATTATGTATTGTATACTTGTATAAATAAATAAATTTAACTAAAAGTAGTAAATCATCATAATATTCATTACTATCAATAGAGTAACATATAGTATGTTTTGTTTTGTCTTGCGCGCCGACATATATTTTTATAAATAGACGCTGCAAATGTCCCTACTTCGCATGCCCAATGTAAGCTGTAAGCTCTTAGTTGCCGCTGCTATCTATGCTTTAAAATGAGCCCGGCCGTTATCGTAGTTAAGAGGGAGCAGAGGAAAAATTCCTAATCTTCGATTTGATTCTAGAGGGGTATATCCACTATAAAGTTAAAAATAAAATATTGTATGAGTAGCTACACGATATATTCAAGCATAGACATTAATCAGAAACATACAACAATAAAGTTTCCTCGATAGATAAAAATCACGAAATGACCTCTAATTTTCACATTTTTTCGATTTAACCTCGAAATGCTACAGGTTATTAGGACAAAAATTAGATAATTAATTATATTTATGCATGATCGACAACTGTCACTACGGATTTTTTTTAATCCCTTTAGTTTTAGAGTTATTCCGCTAAAACGAATTTGGTAGGTACTTTTAATGCGCAAAATTCAACATCTCCTGTCGCATGTCACGCGATTCAGGCGTATATTTGTGTCACAAATTTGGGCGGAGCCAACATCAAAACTGTTTTGGCATGCTCCCTCTTAAACATTAGTCGAAAACGCGAAGTATGCCTAATTGTGCCATTAGAAACTGCGAAAACACTACAGCTGTGAGAAGATAAATAAACAGGAACGATTGCTTCCACAGTTATGTAATTTTGTAATCAAAATATGCATAATTAATTTTAAAAACAATATTTAACAATATTTTTCGTTATCAATGAATTTTGAGAAAACAAATACCGCGTGATTCGCAATACATTGCGGCTTTTACTTGGTGCAGTACACTTGTGATCCTTCTTTAGTAGGCCATGAATATCGAAAGTAAGATCTTACTTTCTGACGAAGACTTTCGTATATTGCATCAAGTTTCGTGGTACGACCGCTTCGTCTTGTTTCACCTCGTCACACTGCTTCGAATTCAATAAACGCAACAATGATTTGTCCTGCACTACCAGCTTTTTAGCTGATTTTACATCATATGATCATATTATCATAGTAGATACTACTAAATAAGATTAGTATTTATTTATACTATATAATAACACTTAAGTTATACAATTGATTGATACCATCAAGTTACGAAAATGTGCTTAATATTCCCTATCTGTTGAGTCATTACCGTAGGTGCAAACATTCTTACCACTACCAGAGAACAAAAAAGTAACGAGAACGGACATTCTCCGCCCCTCCGTATCTTTAGATACCGTACCACACCCCGCACATGGACGGTTACATTGACTGGACTGGTAATAAGGCTTTCGGCGAGCCGTTTTCGCGCTAAGACGGCTTTACGGGAACTTGTACGTTAATGTATAACACCATTTTACGTTACTATTTATAATGGTTTTGAATTATGCTGTGTACGGCTGTTTATCGTCATCTAAACAGGATAAAGAGAGGAGTTTCTTTCGTTTTCTGGAAGATGAAACGGAGCAAGTAAAAAAGACTTCGCTGATATTCATTCAATTATCGATTTTTCCATTTATTTAATGCAGAGTAATACATAATAAAGATTTATTATATGTACTTTTTGAGCTAGTAAACAAGGGTTCTCGAATTTTCAATTTGTATTACCGATAAATATTACGTAGTGAATCTACTTAATTATTAACAAGGTAATGCTACACTTGGACACGCAATTTCAAATACCTTGGTTACCTTATTTAAAAGTACCTGTCCAAAATATGTTTATACGTTTTTAATATATTTTTTGAATAAATATTCAATAATATTCTAGTTAGTGAATTAATAAAAAAATATAATGTTATGTCGATATAAATACCCAATGAACATGTGTAATTTAAGATTCTATTAATAGAATTATAGTTAGCAGATTCGCGTTAGAATATTCGGTGTGTTGTCTCTCGGACCACGTAACGTAATAGTGGTAATAGTACGAGATAGTGATGGGTAACGCTGCCACTTCACGCACACATTCGCGCGTGTACAGATAGCGCCTTGCTGTATATAGTAGTAGGTTACTAACTTTCCAGCGTTGTATGGAGTGTCCGGGGTGTGCCACTACCTCACCTCATTTGAAGTAGTACATTGTACTGCCTCATTTTTTTAAATGAGGTACTCCCTCAGACTCATTTTAATTTCATGTCCTACCCAACACTACATCAGACGCACAAAAAATGTGGGAAGCTAGATTTTCATACATATTGCGGTACTTGTGAGGTGTCTATTTAGATATGTCTGTGCGCCCGTATTAAGCCTGTTGAAGAATGATTGGCTAATAGCTGAATACGCTGCTACGTATTTCTAGAACGTATGTCTGTAAAAAAACGCTATTCTGTGTCGATTACATATGTACGATCTCAACCCCATCACACACTCGACCGTCTATAATTATGAATAGATGAGACGTCCATTAGAGCCCATTCAGGCGAATTGTCTGCGCTCCGTCTCATGCAAATCACTCCATGTACATGTTACACCGCACCAAATCCCTTAATTATTATATCTACTTCATCGGTAATCCATGTACGTCTAAGGGTTTTTGAGCTATAGTTCAACACGCTGACTCTATGTACTTACGTCACAATATATCACAGTACATTTATGAAAATGTTAAGAGGAGTAGTAATTTCTTTATGAAAAATAGTGACGGACATAACATTAATGCGAGGAATAAAAATAAACTAGCTGTTCTTGATAGTCGTCTTCACAAAGTCACAGATTTATTTAAGGGCCAATGTATACGCTTCTATAATAATATTCCGGTTGATATACAAAATTTGTCATACACGAGGTTTAAGACTATAGTGAAATAAAAACTTTATACTAAAGGTTATTATACAACTTCTGCGTACTTGGATGACAAAAATCCGTGGCAGTAACACGTTTAGCTCATGGAGGTAGTCTGGATCTCTGATGTTTGAAAACAAAAAATGTATTGTAAATGTTGAATGCGTACAAATGTTATTTACAAAGAGCAACCCCTAGAGTTTCATGCTCATTCTTCGCAGAGGAATTTGCCTTACGAATGAGCGGTAGAGTTTAACCAATGTGACGATTTCAAGTGTAATAATGCTTACCTATGAAATAAAGATTATTTTTATTTGATTTGATTTGATTTGATATTTATGTAACACGGTACAATCACACATACACAACTCACACAACCTTTTGCTACTGCAATCATTAGCGGTAGAACTCCTTGTGAAAGAATCTTTTTTGTCACATTGTCAAATTGTAAAAAGGTGTACCTATACCAAATTTTTTTTGTGAATTAAGAAAAGTAGATAAGAACCAAGAAAATAAGTCAATGAATTAACTGTAATTTTTTTTAATATTCATAAAACTATTTACACATAAATCCAAAAACAACCAGGTATGATGATTGAACATTTTAAAATAAAAGTGAATTGAATGATATTGAAAATAACATTTTTGTAACAAATAATGATATCGTTTTTGAGGTTAAAACATACCATTTCTTCAAAGCAACCGCCAAGCCAAAAACAAAATGAATAAAATATTATATATAATATAATGTTGAAGGAGTAAGGTTGAACATTCACTTTTTGGTTTAACATATTGATAGATTTCTATTATTCAACTAAATAGAGTCGCCTTTCGGCTGAAATGAGGTTGATTAAAAAAATCAATTATTTCAGTAGTAATTACTTAAAACACGATTCAAAATCATACAACGACTATTCGAAATAACCAAAACGTCTCAATTCGAAATCCAATATTTAAACATTTTTCCTCTTTGAAAGCAGCGTGCAATCACCACAAACGATTACAGAGTCAAATAAGAAAGAAATCGGTTCACCTCATACAAACCAAATGGAATCGCTATTACGGTCTTTTGGCGCGGCGCCCCGCCGCCGTCACCGCCGCGCCCGCCCGGCTTAAAAGAAATTTAATCTTGCTAATAAACATGCAAACACCACCGCGAGACTACCTGTTGCCCTCTCTGAGACAAACGATTTCTCAGCCAATCACCGCCCAGCGGCCGCCCACGGCGCCCCCTCATTGGCCAAATGATTGAGGGGGAACCCGAAGGGGGGAATCCGAGGTTTCGAACACGGCTGACAAGAAAAGCACCGCATTGAGCTTTCTGAAGCTTTTCACGAACGTGCGCGGGAATTCCAATTTTTAAATAAAGAATTGGAATCGCGATTTGTTTTAATTTTTCGAGTTTTATTGTTTTATGGACAGTTACATTTAAACATATCTTAATCGGTATTTACTTTTTCTGTTGAAAACAACGAAATTAAATTATGATTGCGAACTCACTGTAAAAAAGTGCGAAAACCGATACAAATAAATTCCAACTGAATTTGAAATTACCAATTGTTCTAACTTCAAAATGTCGCTCGGAAAGCAACCAACAGACCATATAAAGAGACCGATGAACGCGTTCATGGTGTGGTCGCGAGGGCAGAGGCGTAAAATGGCCCAGGATAATCCAAAGATGCACAACTCAGAAATTTCCAAAAGACTCGGCGCCGAGTGGAAGCTACTGACAGAGATGGAGAAGCGGCCGTTCATTGATGAAGCTAAAAGGCTGAGGTGAGTAGATATAACGGAAATATCAGTCTCATCGATCCGTTTCTTCTCTTTATCGGTAACGTTCAAAAACAAAATTGCGTATTCTTAGATTTTTTAATAAAATTTTGGTTTGGAATTTAATGTCTAAAAAGCGTTTTTATATTATTGTTAGCCCTGGAAATTGAAGAAACAATATCGCAAAAAATAATACCCTCCATAATAAATTGACGAAGTTAGAAAGTAAATAAAAAAATGTAAAACAATGTCTTATTTAAATTTTTTTAATTCGCCGTGATATTGGTCATACGTAATACGACATTTTTGCAAATCTGTTTTGTCAATTACTCAAAAATTGCTTCTTGAATTCCGATACCTAATTAGTGAGACTGCAATATGATGAAAGTGATGAAAGAAAAATTTACAGCAAATGTGTGGCATAATATTTTCTCAATATGTAATTCTATAAAGTACATTATTATCTTTTGACTTCTTCGTAACTGGATAATCATACTATATGATTTCTAAATCTGTGTCTTCAAACATCATTATCAGATACCACGATGGTCACAAAAAAACAACCTACTTAAAATCGTCTATAAAAACACATATTTGACTTAATAAAAAATAAAATAAAAGAGACCTTACACTATCTTTTTAATTCCCTATCTCAAGACAAACAGACAAACAAAGCCACACCTGTGTTATCACGTTGAAAAGATATCAAAAGCGAAAGACAAAAAAACATATTTGTCGAGTTGTAACTTTTTATCATCGCACAGTGGATTGTTAGAAAAATAAATAGACCTTTTTAAATATGGCAACCGGAAACGCTATCTTTATAATTAGACTTTAATATAGTAAAAAACAAATACAGCTTTTTAACCAACATAAAAAATGGTGTTTATGTTTATGTTACGTCATATCTCCGGACGACTGATTTTAATGGTATTATGAAAATGTATACCAAACAGGGTGGTCTTGAGAATTATTTAATTAAGATACAATTTTTGTAGCAATATAGCTCTTTGTGAAAAAACTCGTCCAGGGAAGTACTGCCATCTTACCTATTTCTGCCGCCAAGCAGTAGTGTGAACATATTTCTCTGTCATTCTCGGACTTAAATAGTGTTCACTACCTAATTTCCATGGCAATTTTAATTGTTTAAGTGTTGGATTTATTATCGTGCAATATTATTTTCGGTCGGTATCATAATGACTATATCTTCAAAATAACATGATCAGCTTAAGGACTAGATCGCAAAACGACTACCTCTGGAGAAAGACTATAATTTACAATGACTTGGTAGCAAAACGACTAGACATCGAAATGACCATATTGTTATATGGACCATATGGTGAAATGGCAAGGTAGCAAAATCGTGAAATATTATTTAATAATTACGTTAATATACGTACTAAAATGTTTAAATAATAAAAATTGCCACGGAAATTAGGTAGCGAACACTAGTCCGAGAATGACCGTACAGCGTTCAGGGCAAGGGTGCTGGTGAAATTACAGGCACGTGGGACTTGTCAACTTTTGTCTCAGGGTGATGGGCTTAGTGGCAGCCCCTCAGATCTTTGTAATTTAAAGCTCTTAGTGGCACTGCAACTGTTATGAACAGGCGTGTAGCTACCATCAGGCGCACAGCTTGTTCGTCCCCCACTTGATATTATAAGAAAACTATATAGTGATATTTACATATTCTCGCAAATATACACATTTCTAGGTTCTTTGTTATCAATCTATAGAATTTCGATTAAAATATACTACAGATTTCAAATTTGTACATTTTAAATATGGTACGCAAACTTCAATTTTTCGTTACAGCTATAGTAAATAAAGTTTTTTGAAGTTGTTTATGTTAGAACCAATTGGAAAATGATATTGATAACGCAGCAACAAAAATAGTATAATTGAAACTGCCTCGGTGGCCGAACGGTTACCCTGCTGGACTGCCACGCAGAGGTCCTCGGTTCGATTCCCAGGCCGGGAGAAATGTGCGTATGGCCTACATTTACTTATCTCTTGAGTTTGGGTGTAATGTGAAGTTGTCTATGTGTATGTTCATGGCACCCCCGACACAGGGATTCTCTAGTGTAGGGCTATGAGTGTATGCGTTATTATTATTATTATTATTATTATTAAAAAGCGACAACCTCGTCTCTGAAAGCCCTCAGTTTGCTCGTTCGTTCGTAATTCCTTGTTTACCGCCCTTAATCCACAATGTACAATTATGTATGCTTTTTTTTATAATGTCAAGGGACGGAACGAACAAGTCGTGCGCCTGATGGTAAGCTACACGCCTGTCCATAACAGTTGCAGTGCCACTCAGAGCTGCGATCTAAAGCTCTGAGGGGCACTGCCACTGAGCTCGTCACCCTGAGACATAAGTTGACAAGTCCCACGTGCCTGTAATTTCACCAGCACCCTTACCCTTCAAAACCGGAACACAGTAATGCTGACATTACTGCCTGTCGGCAGAAATAGGTAAGGTATGCTATATCTGTAACTAATTTTTTTCTTTTTTATATGAAACGTGCGGAGCTATAAGTGTATTTATTCTCTATTTATTATTCAGGATCTAAACTTGTAAATGTTTGCCTATTCAAACCAAAACGGATATTTCGTTTTAGTCAGCCCTGATCATGAAAGCGCGAGACCTTGGTTTGTTTGAAAAAACTAAAATATGCGAATAACTGCACTCCCAATTCATTGCTATCGCGGAAAGGTAAAACTAATGCAAATACTAAACTGTGAAGGCAAATAAACATACAAAAAATTGTTATATTTTATATTTATCTCGTATAATCTATCGGTCGGATTTGGATCAGAAAGCGTTACTGTTCGTTTGTTCACCGGTTCTTGAACCTGACAGTACCATTGCCGGGGTATTCCCCGGCGGTAGACGAAAGACTCAGGGTGATGGGCGCAGAGGCAGTGCTTTTCACATCTTTGCCATTTAAAGATACCAATGAGATTTGGTAGTGGACTCAGAGTTGACGGCTTAGCGGTGGCAACCGCTAGTTATGCAATGCGCAACGGCGCAACGGGAAATGTGCGTGCCTACAGCTTCGGTACCTATCTGGAAAATAGGGAAGGTACTGTACGTGCACCCGGGGCGACTCACCCGAGGCACTAGTCTCTCAAAGAACCGGATTAAGTCAACTGACAGTGGTCTGTGACAACCCTGTACGCTGGCTGATCTGGGGTCAAAACCTGAACTTATAAGGTTCCTTTGCGCGCACAGGTTATAGTGCCCTTCTCGTATAATCTATGGGTCACTATAATCAAAACTTTTGAGAACCGGACGAAGTCAGTGTAAACAGGGTGATCTGGGGCCAAGACCTGACTGATAAGGTCCCTGAGCAGGCTTGCTTGCGCAGATTATAGTTGTGGCCGGTGGTTTTCAGTAATCAAATGAAAAGCTCGGTCCACATCATTTACTGTAATGTAGGAATAGGTAAAGAACAAGAAAAGGAAGAAAGGGAAAGGTAAAAGATGTAACAAAATAACATAACGGTATAAACACAGGCACAATCGTATAAAAAAAAACACTCCCTATTGAATAGGAAATGAAACTATTTTTCCGGATTTAAATCGTCAACCGTGTCAGTCAACCGTGACCATGGGACCTGTAAAGAGCCCGAAACGTCGGTTTGTTTGAAAAAACAAATATACGCGATTTAAATCCGGAAAAATAGTTTCATTTCCTATGTGTAACAATCGCGAAAACCTAAGAACTCGATACTCCCTATTGAAATTACATACAGGTTAGACATGATAAAAAGGACCTTACCCCAAAAGGCCTGTATTTGTACAAATATTATACTTTACAAGCAGATAGGTTACATGATTTTGATCCCCTTCGATCTATTAACTCAGTTTCACTCTCTATATCTCTCTTTAATTCTGGCTTCATGTTTGATTCCTTCACTCTGCATTCAACACGCCTTTGGAATGCTCTCCCGGACACCATCAAGTCTCCTAGTTTATTCTCTTTCAAAAAGAATGTCCATAAGCATCTTTTAAATTGTTTGCCACAGTTATAATCATCATCATCTGTTATTGTATGTATCATACATAAATATGTGTATAGATATATAAATATATTAGGTTTGTTGGTTATATATATGATTATATATTTACTACATTTTTGTTATTAATACATTATTAATTTAATATTTTGTTTAATTTGCCGCATTCGTGAATTTCGTTTTCCTCAAAGGTTGCCTGGTAGAGAATACTTTTAGCGTTAATTCAGCCTTTTGTACCGTTATGTATTGTGGTCAATAGAGTTTAATAAATAAATGATTTTCTGTGGTATAACTGCTCAGAATTTGGTCTGAAGTTAAGCACGTCTGCTCGCTTTGGAAGTTTAGTAGTGAGTAGCGGCGGAACGATGAAAAGTAAGAATGACGAAAGTAAGGAATTAAAGAACGGTTCAAAATTTCAAAGTAGGTGGCCAGGAACCAGAGAAAAAGGTGATAAAAAGGTGAGATGACAATTAAGGAGGTCGCATCGTCACAAAGCCTTTCTCGTACACCCTAAGGGTCGGCAGGGAGGTCACAATGAACAAAACTTATGTAGAAATGTATGAGAGTGTTACGAACGGGCGTGACGTTTACCACCAGGTGCACGACTTGTCCGCCCCGTTACTAGGTATCATAAAAAAAAATCCCAAGCGTCTGTAAAAGCCAGAACGCAGTAATTCTCACATTACTGCTTGGCGGCAAAAAATAGGTACAGCAGTACTTCTGCTGAAAAATCTGCAGATTTCTCCAACTCTCTCTTTAAATTGATCTCGAAAAGTTGTTAACTTACGAATGATGATTTTGTTGACTTATTTATATATTTAATCATTTATTGTATAGGAAAATACAAATCACGTTTAAGAAAAGGAAAACAAACGAAAAGGTTCTGCTTATTTCTAAAAAAAATGTCTTCGTGTAGACCCAAAGACAGGGCACAATAATTACAAAACAGGTTTACGCCTAATAAAACAAGAATTATGTAAAACA